CTTGCGAAGTAGAACATGCTAAGAGAACCATCAACCCATGTATTCTGTCACAGTAGCTAATGTCCCCCCAGGTCCATCTTGCACTACACCATAAAATGCCATCACATTTGGATGATGAAGCTTTGAAAGAATATCAGCCTCCCGCCAGAACTCTACAGTCTGAGGATAACAACCAGAAGATCTTATCAGTACGGCAGGAAAATTATGCAGGAAACAAGTGCTATTACCAAAAGGGAGCAAGAAAACTTTTAAATAAGACCATAAATTTCTTTGAGGGCGAAACAAAAACAAACTGCTGATCTTCCTTTCAACTAAACAGTGGTAGGATGCCATGATATTGCAGCAATTTACAGCTGAGTTCATACTAAAGATAAAACAAGTAATAACAGGTAAATGAAACATCAAAATAAGGAGCAACTACCAGTCTCTCTTGCTCAGATGACCGCCCTGTGAAGCAGCATTTTTTTATTCTCTTAATGGCAACATCTGTTCCCCTCCACTTTCCATAATATACAGTCCCAAATGTACCCGAACCAAGTTCCCTCAGCTCTTCAAGATCGTCATTCTTAATGACCTATTGTGCGCATCCAGAAGAGAGACAAACAAGAAAACAAAAATGCAAAATATTATATTGTTTTTGTTAACTCTAAACCACCAGATAATTCCGTTCCATCAAAAAGCAATCATGCAAAAGGACAAACATAAGTAGAATAGTTCATTAAGTGTCTAAAGAAATGACAATGAATAAATGAAGGACAATTGCATGCCTCTAAAATCTTATTTAAAAAAAAAAATTGCATGCCTCTAAAATCAAATGTAAAAACATCAAGAAATCAGATTAGAAAAAAAGAAAAAAAAAAACTAGGAAATCACTTAAATTTGCAACTAGAATAAAAAATTTATCTCCATCACATCACAGTCAGTGCTGCACAGACAGGCATCATACCTGCAAGGTACTTAGATCAAAATCTCCCAATGATGGATCTAGAGGAGGAAGACCAACATGCTTCATTTCTATCTTCGCATCCTAAAAGCATCAAATGCATCAGTGTACAGATATATAATTTGAAGAAATTGTTCTGCAAAAAAATAAAGACTAAGGTACCACCTCATACTCTGATACTGGAGCTCTCAGGTTATCCATCATAACATCAAAATGCATACTCTCAGTGACCTTTACCTGGGACTGATCAAACTCTGAAACAGCTACCGTCCTTGCAGGTAAATGTTTTTCATCATCACCAAAATTAAGCTGAGAATCCACATGGTCCACTGAAACTTCATCTCTGGTTAAATGTGTAAAATGATAAGTACCATTATCTCCTTCATTAATGTCTCTAAGTGCAGAGGAAAAACCAAGATGATCTTGGTCAATGAGAGAAACATCTTTCTGACGAAATTCTTCTTGTGCCAACTTCTGAAAATAAGACCAACGTTTGGGTTCATGGTTTTCCATGTTCAGACTCAAGCCAGGTCCATCTTGGAGAGGTGGACTGATACCAGTTGAATCCTCGGAAAGCATGGCTTTAGAAAATATATCAGAAAGGAAGTCACGAGGGAATCGATCATTAATATCAATTAGGATGTCACCCTGCCCTGAAGCAGAAACAGCAACAGAAGCATTTTCCTGAGAAATGTCTGGGTGTATAACAGAAGCTACATTGCTCACAGTAGGAACCTCACTTGCAGTGTCCACAAGATTGCTTGTCTCAGATTCAACTTCGAGCATTCTATCCTTGTGTAAGGAATCGTTAACAGTCACAAAGTCCGAACCTGTCTGCTTCAACTCGGAGTCCAAAACTTCTTTTCGAAGTTTGGAATTTTGAGAAATAGTATCAGCAACCTCTTTATAATTTTGAAGTCGAGCAAGTCCATCATCAATAATTTGTCCAACTGTATATAATGGCTTCGCACTTGACAAATCTTCAGAGTAGGGATCCATATTGCTTTCATGCGATTTTTCAACGGATTCTTTAGATGGATCCTGCTGCATGATATCAGAACGTGAATGTGATAAGAGAAGCTGAGAACCCAGCGAATCATCAGATTTTGATAACCGATTTAGCAACTCTAACTGCTCCCTTGGTAACCTCTCTGAATAATATATCCTCTGAGGCGCAGGTTGATCAAGATAACCCAAATCCATAGCATTGGGCCCTGAATCCATATAAACAGGACCAAATGTGCTACTAGATACAGAGTGCTGATCATCATCACCAGATTGAGGAATCTCCGATGTGGTTACAGCATTGACAGAGGAAGTCTTCGTACATTCATTGTTCTTTCCCTCATTTTTGGGAGCTGAAGAAAGCAGATCTTCGTTCGGTGTAGGTGTAGCAGCAGCAACTGACGTTTCTTCAACTGTATAGTTATTTATTACGTTACCATCATGTGGTTGAACTTGGTGATCCTTTTCCGAGGGTTGAAGTTTTCCAAGGGTAGTGGCTTGGTTAATTGTTACATCAGGTTTTGGTTTTAGCTCCTCCACAAGCATCTGTGGGTTCTGCAACTGTAAGCCCCCATATGACTGTCCTGTCAAGCCTTCCCATTGATTAGTATGTCCCTGAAGTGGCATAGAAGCAGGAACTTCTCCAAGAGGAGTGAATGTAGAAGAATTTTGGTTATAATGTGGTGCAAACTGCTTGACTTCCCTATGATGGACTGTATGACCAGAAAACTGTGGATCATTGTCGAAAGCGCTAGAGGAACCCAACATGGTTTGTGGAAAGGATTGAGGAGCCGATGATGAGGTCAGGGTATTAGTAATCGGTGGAGCAGTAACTCCAACCAAGTCTCTTGCAGCTCTACCTATCTCCTCAGTGTTCTTTCTGTCCAACTCATCCAAAATATTTCCCGAGGAGCTTGCTAAACCATTAGAGGTCAAATTCCTCTTAGATCCTATGTCCATGCCATTGACAGCTACTACATACTGAATTTCAGAATCAGCATCACTGCAGCCCAAACCAAACTGAGCATCATCTAAATCACCTGCGGAAAACAGAAATATTCTAAGTTTCTGTGACCCTTCTCTATCTTCCAGTACATTACACTCTTCCATCATATTTTGGATATCTTCATCACAAGAGACAGACACCAAGGCGTCAAGATCCTCACCAGGAAGCTGATATTTCACGACATGAGCTTCACTATAAATCATTAATATTTTCTGCTTTAGTTCCTGCCAAGAAATATCCTTCCTAATGCGGATTATGCGTGTTTCACCTCCAACATACCTGAGCCTTCCATCACTTGGCCGTGGGAGGACTCTCCCACCAAAGCTGCAGAGGATCTTCAACCTTGCCGATAACCTATTAGATGCTTCAGAGGAGGTATATCCCACTCCTCGGTTACTTTCATAACCTAGAGAAGTTCGTGGCACTGACTGAACTGATCCATAGTTGCTTCGGTCTTCATACAGGGAGGAGTTCTTCCTCTCAAACTCTTTTGGATCTTTCTCTGCTATATTCAGCATTGAAATATCTGACCCACTTTCAGAGCCTGTATGACTGATGCCTAAGATGCCTTTAAGTTCCATATAACCTGGAGCATAATGCGGGTCACCAACAGTATTTGGAAAAGAAGGTTTTCGAGGATTTACCCTATCACGCATAAACTCAAGAGCAAACTCCTCCCCAGTCTGTATTGAATAATTAAGTACAGGTTTAACATCTGAAACATGTAAATTAGGAGGTCTAACACTCATGCTGCTCATGGGATCCAGAATATATGCGTGAGATGCAGAATGCAATTCCTGATTTCCATGCCCAGGTTCCATGGAATTGTACTGCAACTGCTTCTGTCCTCTTGATTGTTCCATCACAACGGCATGTTATTTTCTCTTAATTTAATTCAACTAAATGAACACAAACGCATTCCAAAAAGTCACGAAGAACGCATGAAAGACATCTTAAAATAGCTACTGCGTAAAGCTTCCACTTCAGGACAATATTAACAACTGTGCAATGTGGCAAAAGTTTATATCCTGAAAACAGATACCAAGACAGAAAATAAAGTTCAGTGAGTTTCTTGTTTCAGAACCCAGAAAGAGTTTCAGAATCCAGAAAGAGGTTCCCAATCTCTTCACAAATCTTATTCACGTTAACATGGCAATCAGATCTAAGATAAGCCAAAAATCTTTGAATACTACATTCCAAAAATGATAGATCACAAGAAATGATTGAGTTACAATACAAAAGAATAAAGATACGGAGTCATAAATAATTTGACACCTACAAACACTTTCTTCTGACTAAAAAGAACTACTAACATTTTCTAACCAGAAAATTGAGTAATAAAAGGTTGCCAATGCCAAGTACACCTAGCAACAGAGCTTTTAGAAATCAACACCCTGAAATTAGCTCATGCTGATGTAAAGCAATAAAATTTGCTACAAATTTCACGTGTCTGCCACGGAATAACCTTCTACAATTGCTCATTAACTATCTGCAGGCAGATTCAAGATAATAAATTCCAAGTTCATGCATCAATAAATCACTCTCTGGTGGCCAAAAACTCCCCAAATCTTCCATATTTTCAAATCCTCTCGGCTGCCAAAAGTAACCTAACATATCATGCTAAACTAAATACCCACCTAAATTCAAGCGTCCAAGACCCGAGTGCGTGACTTACACGCCCAGTAGGGTTTCTTGAAGTCACAGTCACTCTTCTGCAAAGTCAATGCCCTTCAAAAAAAAATCAGAAACCAAAAATCCTAAATACAGAGAATTCAACTAATATCACTTGATCAAATATCGACTAGTTACTGCTTGCTTCTAATTATCAGCACCCACTAAAATCTATCTAATAAACAACAGCTTTCACTACTTCCTTTGCCTTCCCTAAAATCAAAACCATCAACCAAAAATAACCTTAAAAAGAAAGCAAAAATCATTTCCAATCAGATTTAACGCAGTCACATATTTTTCATAAGAATATTAAGAAGAAAAAGAGTTCGAATCAGCAAAAGTACCTGGAAAAGAGACGAATCTTCTTGAACCTTTACCGGTTCAAGAAGGACGAAACCATAACTGAACCACACTCTATTCAAGCTAAGTTACAAAATCCAGATAATAATCCACGTTTTCCCCCATTTTCTCTCGCTTTCTCTTTATCTCTCTGTGGGTTTCCTCGGATGGTTTGTGATCTCCTTCGTCCTCTCTTCTACGGATTTCGCGTCCTTTTAGAAAATACAAATGTCGGCTAACTTAACTCTCCAACTGCACACATTTATCTGATATTTGTCAAAATGTCAACAAGGAGGCCAACAGTGTATTTACCAAATTACCCTCCCCCTACTCATTTTTTTCTTTAAATTTTTACGAAGTTTTATTGATTTAATTACCAAAAAATCATTAACAATTTTTGCGTCATTATTAGTTTTGACCTATGTTAAGATAATGTCAGAATTTTGCCAATAATACCAAGATGATCCAAAGAATTCTTACTTTAGCGGTCTAACATTTTATTTAATATTAAAAAAAATATCTATGAATATGATGCAAAATGGCATCATATAATAATTACAAAATAATATAAGTTTATGAATTAATTTATTAAAAAAGTTTGTGCCCTAGTAATTAATACAATTTAGATTTATTCATTATTTAAAAAATTAATTATGACTATTATTTTTTATTTTTTATTTGGTTCATTTAGTAAAATTTATTTTTTAAAAAAATAATTTATTTTATTTTATTTCAATATACGACAAATAATATTATATATTGAGGATAAAAAAACAATTCAACATAAGAAAATAACATACTCTAAATTCTACATAGCAACAAGAAATTTCATTAAAAAAAAGATATCTATTACTATTTTAAAGATTATAAGATACATAGCAAAAAAAAAATTATATTTAATATATCCGTAAAAATTACACTATTATTTCGTTCTTTTGAAACGTCAAAATTTTTTTATTGAAGATTTAAAATATGAGAAAATATTTTGATGGCTTTACTAAAGTTGTGGTTGAAAATATTCTAATAATAAGATTAGAATTTTAGTTTAACGAACATGAATAAACGAATGTAACTTTTTCTTCAAACAATAAATTATTGATAACTG